CACATCCGAAGGAAAACAACAGTGAAAGAACAGGTAGTGAAACTTAGAACAGGCGAGGACAGGTATACAGAGAATGACAAAGAGGTGTGTGATGAACTCAACAAGAGGTTCCAAGAGGTCTTCACAACAGAACAAGGTGAGGTCACTGTGCTAGGAGAAAGGGACGTAAACCAGGCGGCCTTGGAAGAGTTTGAAGTTACGAGAGAGGAGGTCAAGAGACACCTGCTGGATCTGGATGTTAGAAAGGCTGTTGGTCCAGACGGGATCTCGCCATGGGTACTGAAAGAGTGTGCAGAGGCACTTTGCTTGCCACTCTCCATAGTGTATAGTAGGTCACTGGAGACGGGAGACCTACCAGAAATATGGAAGACGGCGAATGTGGTCCCAATATACAAAAAGGGCGACAGGCAAGAGGCACTGAACTACAGGCCAGTATCCTTGACTTATATACCATGCAAGGTGATGGAGAAGATCGTGAGAAAAAACCTGGTAGCACATCTGGAGAGAAGGGACTTCGTGACAAATCGACAACATGGGTTCAGGGAGGGTAAATCTTGCCTGACTGGCTTAATAGAATTCTATGACCAGGTGACACAGATTAAGCAAGAAAGAGAGGGCTGGGCGGACTGCATTTTCTTGGATTGTCAGAAAGCCTTTGACACAGTACCGCATAAGAGGCTGGTACATAAGCTGGAGAGACAGGCAGGTGTAGCTGGTAAGGTGCTCCAGTGGATAAGGGAGTACCTAAGCAATAGGAAGCAGAGAGTTACGGTGAGGGGTGAGACCTCTGATTGGCGTGAAGTCACCAGTGGAGTCCCACAGGGCTCTGTACTCAGTCCTATCTTGTTTCTGATATATGTAAATGATCTCCCGGAGGGTATAGATTCAATGTTTGCGGATGATGCCAAAATTATGAGAAGGATTAAGACAGAAGAGGACTGTTTGAGGCTTCAAGAAGACCTAGACAAACTGAAGGAATGGTCGAACAAGTGGTTGTTAGAGTTCAACCCAACCAAATGTAATGTAATGAAGATAGGTGTAGGGAGCAGGAGGCCAAATACAAGGTATCATCTGGGAGAGGAAATCCTTCAGGAGTCAGAGAAAGAAAAAGACTTGGGAGTTGATATCACGCCAGACCTGTCTCCTGCAGCACATATCAAGAGGATAACATCAGCGGCATATGCCAGGCTGGCCAACATACGAACGGCATTCAGAAATTTGTGTAAAGAATCATTCAGAACTTTGTATACCACATATGTCAGGCCAATTCTGGGTATGCAGCCCCAGCATGGTGTCCATATCTAGTCAAGGATAAGACTAAACTGGAAAAGGTTCAAAGATTTGCCACCAGACTAGTACCCGAGCTGAGAGGTATGAGCTACGAGGAGAGACTGCGGGAATTGAACCTCACTTCGCTGGAAGACAGAAGAGTTAGGGGGGACATGATCACTACATTCAAGATTCTCAAGGGAATTTATAGGGTAGATAAAGACAGGCTATTTAACACAAGGGGCACACGCACAAGGGGACACAGGTGGAAACTGAGCGCCCAAATGAGCCACAGAGATATTAGAAAGAACTTTTTTAGTGTCAAGAGTGGTTGACAAATGGAATGCATTAGGAAGTGATGTGGTGGAGGCTGACTCCATACACAGTTTCAAGTGTAGATATGATAGAGCCCAATAGGCTCAGGAATCTGTACACCTGTTGATTGACGGTTGAGAGGCGGGACCAAAGAGCCAGAGCTCAACCCCCGCAAACACAACTAGGTGAGTACACACACTAAATAATGTCGTAAATAACAAATTAAAAACGTCCACTCAAGGATGTCAACCAACATACTCTCACTAAACATAAAAAAGACCTACTACATATTATTTGGAAGCAAATCAACATATGTAATTAAGCTTCAGATTGACAATGTTAAGATCAGCAATAAAAATGATGGAAAGTTCATTGGCCTATACATAGACAAGAGATTCAACTTCAGCACGCACATGCAACACACAACCAAAAAAGTCTCAAAAATGGGCAGTATACATTTTTAAAATCAGATATTATGTTCCAAACTCTGCTCTCCTCTCATTATACTACTCACTAATTTATCCCTATCTTACATATGGTATCTGTGCATGGTGTTCAACCACAACCACTCCAAATAAATTTGGAGGCCTGGTCGAGGAGCGGGCCGCGGGGACGCTAAGCCCCGAAAACATCTCAAGGTAACCTCGTGGTAACTGCAAAGGACCTCAAGCCCATCATCACCCAGAAAACATCTATCAGAAAAGTAACAAGATCTGTTTTCAGACAACAAAAAAACCCACGTCCCTGTTTAAATTCCTAATCATAAACTCACTCCATTCATTCTCTTGTGCCCTTTACATGTACAAACCTTGTTCCAAGGTGCAAATCCTGATCTGAAACTCTTCCTTGACAGCTGTAGAAGAACTCATAATCAACACACCAGAAATAAATCTCTCTCTACTATCCCCAGAGTCAAACTAAAGCTAACTCTATGCAAATAAAGGGACCTAGTCTATGCAACTGACCCCTCTAATAAATTAAATAGCTGTCACAGAAGCTGTAGTTTTGCTACAGCTACTATGCCTTGGTTGATGGGGTTCTGGGAGTTCTTCTACTCCCCAAGCCCGGCCCGAGGCCAGACTTGACTTGTGAGAGTTTGGTCCACCAGGCTGTTGCTTGGAGCGGCCCGCAGGCCCACATACCCACCACAGCCCGGTTGGTCCGGCACTCCTTGAAGGAAACGATCTAGTTTCCTCTTGAAGATGTCCACGGTTGTTCCTGTAATATTTCTGATGCTCGCTGGTAGGATGTTGAACAACTGTGGACCTCTGATGTTCATACAGTGTTCTCTGATTGTGCCCATAGCACCTCTGCTCTTCACTGGTTCTATTCTGCATTTTCTTTCATGTCGTTCACTCCAGTACGTTGTTATTTTACTGTGCAGATTTGGGACCTGTCCCTCCAGTATTTTCCATATGTATATTATTTGGTATCTCTCTCGTCTCCTTTCTAGTGAGTACATTTGGAGAGCTTTGAGACAATCCCAATAATTTAGGTGCTTTATCTAGTCTATGCGTGCCGTATATGTTCTCTGTATTCCCTCAATTTCAGCAATCTCTCCTGCTCTAAAGGGGGAAGTGAATACTGAGCAGTACTCAAGACGGGACAACACAAGTGATTTGAGGAGTACAACCATTGTGACGGGATCTCTGGACTTGAAGGTTCTCGTAATCCATCCTATCATTTTTCTGGCTGACGCAATACTTGTTTGGTTATGCTCCCTAAACGTTAGGTCATCGGACATCATTATTCCCAAATCCTTGACATGCTGTTTTCCTACTATGGGCAGATTCGATTGTGCTTTGTACCCTGTATTATGTTTAAGATCCTCATTTTTGCCGTATCTGAGTACCTAGAATTTATCACCGTTAAACATCATGTTATTTTCTGCTGCCCAATCGAAAACTTTGTTAATATCTGTTTGTAGTTTATCAATGTCTTCAGCAGAGGTAATTTTCATGCTGATTTTTGTATCATCTGCAAAGGATGACACGAAGCTGTGACTTGTGTTTTTGTCTATATCTGATATGAAAATACGGAACAGCAGTGGTGCAAGGACTATACCTTGAAGTACAGAGCTTTTAACTGCGCTCGGACTCAATTTTACTTGATTGACTGTTACATTTTGTGTCCTGTTCGACAGGAAATTGAGTATCCAACGTCCTACTTTACCAGTTATACCCATTGACCTCATTTTGTGTGCAATCACTCCATGGTCACATTTGTCGAATGCCTTTGCAAAATCTGTGTATACGACATCTGCGTTATGTTTTTCCTCTAATGCCTCAGTGATTTTGTCATAGTGCCTTATTCAAAAGTAAAACCAAAATGTACCTAATTTCATCGTAATAGTTTCCTACCTAGTGCTTCAAACTCACACTGTATCTTGTGCTACCTACTCCACCAATATATTGGCCTAAGCCATGCAACTTCGCTATTATAATCACTGCTATTATCTTATATCATGGTTGTTATATTGAATGCAAATTTTACTACAATGTACCTAGAAATAATCTTCATATTATGCTGAAATTTACCTGCTGATAATCCTCACATTTTACTATAATGTACATACTAATTTTTTTCAAATTTTCTTACAATGTACCTGTTAAAATTTTCCAATTTTGCTACAAATTACCTACTTAAAATTATCTGTTAGATTAAGGACCTGCCCAAAACGCTATATGTGTGTTAGTGGCTTCAATAGAATGTAAAATTATCAATGCTATATACTCTCATAAACTCAATGTAACTTCTTGAATATAAATAAATAAATAAAATAAATGATAAATGGGCAAACAACACTATAAATGAATACTTTACATCTGTGTTCTCACCAGCAAAATTAGAAAACATCACAACCAAATAATAGTTTGAATAAGGTGAAGATAATGTTAAAGATATATCACCATTATGTGTGAAATAATCAGGAAAAGCATCAACAAATTAAATGAATCTAAAGCTCCAGATGTGGATGAAATTTAATACAAAATCATATAGGAACAGGCCAGTGAACCGAGTTTACCAATGAATCTACTCTTTAGAAAACCCTCTAGACCAGCATTTCTCAACCTTGTTAGCTTTGAAATCATTCTGGGTCATACTTTTTATAAATACACAGATTTCATTGTCAACAAAGAAAACAATTTCCGTCTTTACTCTTGATACTGATTAAATGTGAAAAATTAAACACAAAAATTACTCAACAATTCATCTGCATATGACAAGAATTAGCCATTTCTTACTACCTCATGAGGAACACCTAGTTACCCTGGGATTCCGCAGAACCTTGGCTGAGAAACGCTGCTCGAGACCAACAAGTCCCTCTCGTTTAGAAAAGTGCAAGTATGCCTTCAAGAAATGTTGAAAATGTTAAAATTCCACTAACAAAATAAAAAAAACTTAAATATACTCACAATTTTTGCAAGAAAACTGCAGATAATATTCATCAACACTTCATGACAACATGGGTAAAGCTCGAGGCTGTTTCTCCTGGCGGTGACTGTAGTATAAACCCCAGTAGCCTGTTGCTTCTAGAGGTGACTGTATTGTCAGCCAGAGCAGCCAAGGACTTCTAGGGTGACTGCAGACAACTGTAGTGTTATAATGTCTTGGTCTCCATCCCACCTACAGTGTTATGATGTCTTGGTCTCCATCTCACCTACAGTGTTATGATGTCTTGGTCTCCATCTCACCTACAGTGTTATGATGTCTTGGTCTTCATCACACCTGCAGTGTTATGATGTCTTGGTCTTCATCACACCTGCAGTGTTATGATGTCTTGGTCTTCATCACACCTGCAATGTTATGATGTCTTGGTCTCCATCCCACCTACAGTGTTATGATGTCTTGGTCTCCACCACACCTGCAGTGTTATGATGTCTTGGTCTTCATCACACCTGCAGTGTTATGATGTCTTGGTCTTCATCACACCTGCAGTGTTATGATGTCTTGGTCTCCACCACACCTGCAGTGTTATGATGTCTTGGTCTTCATCACACCTGCAGTGTTATGATGTCTTGGTCTTCATCACACCTGCAGTGTTATGATGTCTTGGTCTTCATCACACCTGCAATGTTATGATGTCTTGGTCTCCATCCCACCTACAGTGTTATGATGTCTTGGTCTCCACCACACCTGCAGTGTTATGATGCCCTGGTCTCCACCACACCTGCAGTGTTATGATGCCGTGGTCTTCACCAAACCTGCAGTGTTATGATGCCGTGGTCTTCACCACACCTGCAGTGTTATGATGCCGTGGTCTTCACCAAACCTGCAGTGTTATGATGCCGTGGTCTTCACCACACCTGCAGTGTTATGATGCTGTGGTCTTCACCAAACCTGCAGTGTTATGATGCCGTGGTCTTCACCACACCTGCAGTGTTATGATGCCGTGGTCTTCACCAAACCTGCAGTGTTATGATGCCGTGGTCTTCACCAAACCTGCAGTGTTATGATGCCGTGGTCTCCACCACACCTGCAGTGTTATGATGCCGTGGTCTTCACCAAACCTGCAGTGTTATGATGCCGTGGTCTTCACCACACCTGCAGTGTTATGATGCCGTGGTCTTCACCAAACCTGCAGTGTTATGATGCCGTGGTCTTCACCACACCTGCAGTGTTATGATGCTGTGGTCTTCACCAAACCTGCAGTGTTATGATGCCGTGGTCTTCACCACACCTGCAGTGTTATGATGCCGTGGTCTTCACCAAACCTGCAGTGTTATGATGCCGTGGTCTTCACCACACCTGCAGTGTTATGATGCTGTGGTCTCCACCACACCTGCAGTGATATAATGTCTTGGTCTCCATCACACCTGCCGTGAGCTTGGATGATGTTTCTACCGCCAACATTTTCTTGGTGACACAAATCAATGTTGTTGTTGTTGTAGGGTTAGGGGCTGCTCTGGGAGATGGTATCTTTGAAGGCTCCTTTACGTGCAACATGGGGAATTGGATGACGGGTGAGGTGAGGCGTGTCGTGCATTGCTTTGGCTAGTTGGTCTACCAGTTCATTATGGAGAATACCACAATGTGCTGGGACCCATTGGATAGAGGTGTCATAACCGTTCAATTGATGTTTGTGAAGAAGTTGAAGGCATGGGTAGACAATCTCCTTGCATGTTTTCGAAGAGTACGAAATTGCTTGAATCGCGCTCTTGGAGTCACTACAGATTGTATATATCCCAACTGGTAATGTTGTGATGATTTGGAGAGCTTGATACAAGGCATATAATTCCGCTGTGAAAATAGATAGTTGGTTTGGTAACCGCCATCCCTGCTTGAGATGGTATTCCGGTATCCATACAGCGCAAGTGACCGAGGGTACGTTGTTCGTGAAGATGCGAGACCCATCTGTGTAAATCTCTGTGGTATTTGGGTAGCAATTTTTCATTGTTGAGACAAAGACTGAGGCTATGGCTGAGTTTGGTGCAGATTTTGGAATGTTGTCCTCGAGTTGTATTGCTGTATTAGGAGTTGTATAAAGCCAAGGTGGAATGGGGGGAACAGGAGGTTGGGTTTCACAGTTTTGAAGTAGGGAGAGGTCTATATTGAGGTTATTTGTAGCCCGTGTGAGGAAAGGTTGCGAGTGAATGGTTGGGGAGCGGGGGTTATATGGGTTAACTGTTGGGTTAATTTTTGATCTGTATGGGTGTGTCTGGTGAGCAGTGGTGCAGAGTGACAGATAGTTGGCACACATAATGTCTCGTCTGGTGGTTAGGCTTGTGAGGCCTGTTTCCCCGTAAAGTCCGAGGATTGGAGTTGAACGCATTGCGCCACATATAAGTCGCATGGCATTATTTTGTATGACCTCGAGGCTCTGTAGGTTAGTGGGCGCCGCCGACGCATATGCCTGGCAACAATAGTCTAGTTGGCTGCGAATGTAGGTTGTATAGAAACGGAGCAAGATTTTATGGTGTGCTCCCCAGGTGGTGCCAGTGAGGGCTTTAAGTATGGCGAGTCGAGGTTGTGTCGTCTGTTTAAGGTGTTGAATGTGTGCTTTCCAGGTAAGTAAGGGGGAGTCTAAGCGCATGCCAAGATATTTATGTTCTCGTACGTGTTGGATGGGAGTGTTGTGTATTGTGAGGGTGGGTAGATGAAGTAGTCTTTTTTAGTGAAAATCTGATAGCAGGTTTTGGTAGTACTGACTTGAAGGCCCCATTGTTGTGTCCAATCTATGAGGTGGTCCAGTGCTGTTTGCATTGTAGAGACTGTATTTGGTAGGGCATTGTCTGAATAATACAATGTTAAATCGTCGGCGTACGCCGAGAGGTGAACAGGATGGGTGTTAGGCAAATCTGCTAAGAATGCGGCAAATAGGGTTGGGCTTAGTATGGAGCCTTGTGGGACACCTGTTTGTATTGGGATGCCATCGGAAAACTCGCCTTGTATAAAGACTTTGGAGGTCCGGTTTGTGAGATAGGACTGTAACCATAAAAGTAATCTTCCCTGTACGCCTAAACGTGCAAGCTTTGCGAGGAGGCAAGTATGAGGAATGCTATCAAAAGCTCCTTTGAGGTCTAGGTAGACAACAAGACAATATTTACTGCTTCTGAGAGAGGTGCGGATTTCATGTTCAAGGCAGAGTATTTGATCTAGCGTGGAGCATTGCGGTCGAAATCCAGCTTGGAGTGAAGGTATAATATTGTTATACTCTAGGTACCATTGGAGGCGAGTATGTACTAGCCTTTCCATGACTTTACTGAGGCATGATAGTAGGGAGATAGGTCTGTATGACGCAGGTTGGGATGGGTCTTTTCCTGGTTTAAGGAACGGAAGAATAATGCTGGTCTGCCATTGTGAAGGAATATTTCCGTGAGTCCAGCATTGATTGTAATAGTTTAGAAGAGTGCTGTGTGCAGTCGGTGGAAGATATTTGATGAGCTCATATGGAATTCCATCCTCTCCAGGTGCCTTGCCAAGAGGTAGGCGGTTTAAGGCCAATTGTAGCTCGCTTAAGGTGTACACGTTGTCGACGCCGAGCATGGGCAGCGGTATGGCACGGTCAATTTCTTGTCTGAGGGAGAGTTCCTGGGCATGAAGGGTGTTGAGAGGGTAACTTTAAGGCATTCAGCAAGAACACTTGCACGCTCCTGTGGTGTTTGACAGAGTGAACCGTTGATCATCAGGGGGAACGAAGGGAATGTTGGGCGACCTTTAATGCTGTTAAAAGTCATCACAGAATGTTGCCCATGATGCTCGTTTTGCTGATAGTATGGTTTTTTTGGCCGCTGCTGTAGCCCGCCGGAGATTGACCCAGTTCTGTAGGGAGGGTTGACGTCTTTGTTTTTGAATGGCTCGTCGGCGTAAAGCGACTGTTCGTGCACATTCCGCGTTCCACCACGGTTTAAGTGGTTTGTTGGACCTATGTCCTGAAGTTTTCTTAAGCATTTGGGTGGCTGCAGAATTTATGGCCGAGGTGATTGTGGACAGGCGCTTGTTAGGGTCTACTTCATCTGTGTCTGGGAGGCGGACAATATCAGCCCATTTTTTCTTGTCTAGGTACTTTATGTTCCACTTGGGAAGCGTAAGCGGGTGGGTTGGTGGGTGAAAGTTAGTAAATTTTATTATGAGGGGTTTGTGGTCACTACCAATATCTGGTCCAGTATGAAACTGTAGTTCATGTTGAAAGTGTGCAGAGCCAAAGCAGATGTCCAGTGAGGCTTCATAATTGGTTCTGTAGTTAAAGTAGGTTGCAAGGTAGGGCGGCGAAAGAAGAGTATATGGTGTAGTGTCCAAGTAGTTGTACAAATCGGTGCCTGCAGTATTTTGGGTACCTCTACTCCATGTGGGGTGGTTAGCATTGAGATCACCTGTAACAATGATCGGGTGTCGTAATTGGTTAAGATAAAATTCCAGTTCATTTGAGTTTATGGTGCCTCCAGGGTTGTATATACCCAGAAAGGATATGTGTGTACCATTATAAGGTATTAGGCATGCTAGAACTTCTAATTTACCGTTCACAAAATACGTTAGTGTTACAGGTTTACATGTCATATTACTTCGTGTTAGAAGGAAAATACCACCCCCCATACGGTTGGGTCTGTCCAGTCTCTGCATCTGAAAGTTTTAAATACGGGATTTTGTTTGGGAGTGAGCCAGGATTCGGTGATGAATGCTAAGTCCGGTTTGGATGAGTAGAGGAATTGTTTAAGTTCTGTGAGGGATGTTTTGATGCTTTTTGCGTTCCAAGTCATGAAGGTTAGGGGAGCCATTTAGGATGTTTGGGTTGTGGATGTGTCTGTTTTCTTTGGTGCGCTCATAGTGGTACGAGTTGGATACCTAGATGTGGATGGGGGCTGTGTCTTACTCTTGGTACTGGTGGTTGGGGTTTGTGGCACGTCAGCCTGGGGAGTGGTTTTGGTGAGGCGCGCTAAGGAGGTAATTAGGAGTTTTTCCATCATCTGATCAAACAATGTGTGTCCAGCATTGGTAGCTTTATTTGGGCGGATGTCAGTGTCCGTAACTGTTGATGGGGGGTCTGTTGGGTCAGCCTCAGGGTGGGTTGTGGTACTTGGGCAAAAAATTTTGTTAGGAGTCGGTCCAGGGTCTTTTCCAGTGCATTTTCGATGCGAGTGACGATCGTTTCAATAAGATCATTTTCGAGGCGAGTGACGAGAGTTTCAACTAAATCAGGATTCAGTTGCGCGTTTTGTGAGAGGTGGTTGGACCCTGGGGTTGCGGGATTGTCGGAGACAGGGATATCCGGTACAAGCGAAGGTTGTGGTTGAGTGTGAGGTAGAGGTTGGTGATGAGCTGAGGAAGGTTTTTTAATGCGCTGCTGTATAGCAGGTTGGTGGTAGGGGGAACCTTCATTTTCGCTGCTGCTGCTACGTAAGAGGGACATTGTTTAAATGTGATGTCACAGGCAAAATCAATGTTGTGTCCCAGGATGGAGCTGCCTTTTTTTGTGACGGTGAACAACTGTCATACACCGATGGTCTCTTTATGTACCGTCGATCACTTGTCGCATGCGGTACCCGCAGCGCATAGGTATAGAATATTTTAATAATAATAATAATTATAAAATAATCATTTAATAATTAATATGCATGAATTTACCTGAGGGCTACTTTTCTGTGATTGGAGGGAAACACATGCATAGAGTGGGGGACTTTTTTATTTGTATTATAACTGCTGAAGTTCCGGCTGACGAGGTCCCAGCCGAAGATCCAGCAGCTGGCGCTCCAGTTATTAAGAATCGTTACTTTAAGAAAGATCAGCTTTCTTTATGCTTATATTATCTTTAGTAAGTCAAGAATTACTTCAGGCCCGACGATTCGATTCAGCCGAATCCTGTCAATTATTCCTTAGTATTGTTATCCTTTAGTGTTATTATTCTTTATTATATTCGTTCTTTCCCGGAGCTTATTATTTGGGATAAGGAACACTGAATGTACCACATTACTCGATGCCGCATAATCTAACTGAGCAGTGCGCCAGTGCTGCAATGGATGCAAGGGAGATTGTGACATGGCACATATGCTGTCGGAGCCTATAGTGCCAGTTACACAATGTTGACGGGTACACACAAACGAGGTCTCAATTATTATTCAGTCATTATTTCTGGTTATGTCTATTCATTTTCCCTGCTTTATTATTATCCTCAAATTCAATTATCCATACTGGTTATTATAATTTCGCTACTCAATTCTTTTGCCGCTGTTGAGCCGGCTGATGTGATCCCTGCCGGTGGTCCAGCAGCTAATCAAATCAAATCAAATCAAATGTTTATTTAGGTAAGGTACATACATACAAGAGATTTTACAAAGAGTGATGGTTTTTATAGATAGGGCTAATACATACAATGCCTAAAGCCACTATTACGCAAAGCGTTTCGGGCATGAAAAACTTAAATGACTAAAGCTTAATACTAAATAAATAAATAAATAAATGTTT